TTTAGATAGTTAATGGGGATTCAACAATCATGATACAAATATTAATTAACATTGATTAATATATTGAAAGCTACTGGAATTTCCTTAACATGTTAGCTATGATCGCTGTTCTGAGTTTACCATCTAAATCAGCTTGTCATTTGTGCCCCTTTACTGGTGGTGGAAATATTCCAAGACCCCAAGTGGACATCTGGAATCACAAATAATACCAATCCTTATATATCCTATGTTTTTTCCTTATACACACCTATGATAAAGTTTAACTTATAAATTAGGTACAGTGAACAGTTAACAATAGCTTATAGTGAAATATAACACTATTTGTAATAAAAATCATATGAGTACACTCCTTTCTCACCTCACTCTCAAAATATGGCATTTTCCACTTAATACTTTCACACAATGACTGACTTAAGTAACCAAAACTATAGAAAAGCAAAAGCATGGATAAGGGACAGAGGAGCACTGCACCTCAGCTGAATGGTTTTTAGGTCTTCTGTATTCAGAGACAACACCTCATTTGTTGACACTAGCATGTGGGCAGCAGTAGATTTTACCTGGTTCATGGCCTGTGTGAATAGCCTGTAAGATAAAAATATAACAGCCCTGATATTTTTTTCTGCCGTATGCTGTAATGTTGTCTAGATCTTGATGCTGGAAAGTAGACACGATGGATATGTGCCTATGTTTTCTACATAAAGATCAACCCAGTATAACACTCCTCTAACCCAGAAAGAAGGGGATCAATAAGAGAGAGGTGCCTTTTATCGGTGATCTTTAGCTGTCCTAAGATCAGCTGTTCTTTAGGTTTCTAAGGAAGGATTCAATAACCACAGATTTAGCAGATTTATCAGCACTGGATAGCCAGATTTGCTTTTCCATAAGAGGAATCAGGAGAGAGGCAAGAGTATCTTTGAAGCAAATCTTGTACTGTTTTGAGCTTATTTTAATCACTTAAAAAACAGCCACACTCCATATGACCTGTGGGAGTAGCCATTTGGCCGAGTGAGTGAATAACCCACAGAGGAAGCGCACATCCAGACCTGCAGCGCAGCAGGAAGAGACTCTCACACTCTCAGATTCTGCAGATCCTCTCCTTGGATATGGAGAAAGGGAAGGTGATTTTAACCCTCAGCGAGCAAATGCCCTCTTTCCTTTCTGGGATGCCCTTAATCAGGATCCAGATAAATAATGCACCACTGAAAATAGGGCACAGCAATTATTTCCCTTAACTCCCCAGCCATGCCACCAAGGAGCCTGATGACACAGTGCAGAGTCATCCCTAGTGCTGGAAGGAGGAGGTAGGAGGGTTGCAGCAGACCTCACACTGAGTATTCAGTGTCCCTGGACAAGGGACAAGACCGAAATCATTAGAAAGGGCTTGCACAAAACAGGCTGCCTGTGAGCCACCATGGTCACTGTGGCCAACTGCAGCTTTCTGTAAAATCATTTCTGTATGGTGCAGCATTCCCAATATATCAACTTCCCGCTCTCAGCATAAAATTCTCAAAAAGGAAGCACAGGATGAACTGCTTTGATAGGGTTTAATGCAAACCCAAAAGGCAATAAGCAGAGAGGCCTGGAGGAGGTGAGAAGGAGTGAGAACCGGATGTGGTCTAAGCTTTCCCGTGCTCTTCTCCTCTGGGTAATGTATTAAGCAACTGGCACAACGTTCATGATTCCATTGTTAAAAATCCCGGCACCAGCAGTTTCCATGCCATGGATCCGGCTGCAGGCTACCCGAAGGCAATGCAAGCACCACCCCTGCTATCATTACCCTTGCTACCCATTTACCAGAAAGACTCAAACTAGTCTTTGTTTAAACAATTCTATTTCCTCAATCCAATAAAATCCTTAAATACTTTATTGGGCATTGGTTTGCCATGTTGCTTATGGATGTGATGTGACAGCTCACTTAGGCTCTTAAGAAAGAAGTAGCACAAGGACTTTAAAGGCCACATCCTGTTGGCAGGATATGGGCTCCTCTACCACCACGGCAGAGAAAGATGCCATTCACTGCTGAGCATCAATGCACAGGGAAGCCTGGGGGAAAGTAATCTATTCTAAAAAAAAAAAAAAAAATGTAACATTCCCAGAGGCTTCTCAAGCCTCAGTCTCTGCCAGGGCCCTCATAAAACTCATCTCCAACAACTGCTTATTGGGCAGATTTCTCTTTTGAACTAAAACAATTGCAAAGACTCCCAGGGTCCATGGGAAAACATTTTTGTTCCCAGTGGGAACCCGAGCAAAAAGTTTTCATGTTCTTTCTGCTTTATCATCCAATTCCTCTGAAGCTTTTCACCACTCCTGCAGTGAGGAGAACATGCTATAAAAGAAGAAATGCCACCACAGCAAACTGTAAGCTTCGCAAACAAAACAGAACAACACCAACAAAAAAAAAAAACAAAAACCCAAAACAGTCACGTATGATTGTCAGCACAAGGACCGCAGGAGAAAAAATATGCATATTTAAATGAAAAAGAAAACATTTAAATTATAGTCCTTGGACAAATTATTCCTGCTATGGTTTGGGTCTTGAATGTCCTCCAAAGTCCTGTGTTTTAAATACGGAGCCTCATTAGTAGGAGGTGGAACCTGTAAGAGCTACAGCCTGATGGGAGCTATTTACACCACTGAGTCAAGCCCTTGAGAGGGACTGTGGGATCCTCATGCTGTCTTCACGGTCTGTCACTTCCTGGCCACGAGGAAGTGAAAGACTTTGCTCATGATGTGTTCCCACCATGGTATAACTGCCCCACCAAAGGCCCGAAACAGTCAGTCCATCTGACCATGGTATGAAATTTCCAAAACTCTGAGCTATGATTTTTCACTTCATAAGGCACTATCTCAGACATTTTGCTATCATGATAAAAAGCTAACTTTAAATTCCCTTAAAAGTCTCTCTTGCATAAGCTCTGGAATAAGATCAGCTCAAATTTCTACTTTGCTATTTATAGCTTTGGGGTTTTAGTCGTGTTTATAACAAGTTCTGTGACTTCACATCCTTATCTGTTAAATGGGGCTAATAATCAAATTGTTGTATTAAATTATAGATACACACAAAGCCGTTGGACTAACGCTTACTAAAGCTATTATCATTACTACAATCAAAATTGCTTCCACAAGTACTGTCATAGTTGCTCCCATAAGCACTTTGGGAAAAAGAAGTGAAACATGCAAATGATTTTATCCAGGTTTTATGGATGAGTATAATGAGGTTTAAATGCGTTTTTAAAAACATATAATTTATGGATGAGCCAAGATTTCCATACTGGTTTTTGACATTTAGGCTGAGATTATTTCCCATTACACTGGACTATTTACATAAGACTGCAGCAGAAAATAGCCATTATAAAATTCTGACATTAAATAAATTCAGAAGGATGCAAACAACTGACAGCCTTATAGGACCTACTCTACAAATTCTTTCTTTGGACAAACAAAATTAAATGATCAGTTGATGCAGACATTAAAGTAGCGAAAGTTAATTTTTACATTTAATTTATAGCAATTTAGAACCCCCATAATTCTGAAGTGTGAGGCAGAGATTCATCAGTATGTAGTCTTGCTTCTAAAATTCACTTTTTGCAAAAATAAACTCCCATTTTCAGAAAACTCAATACAGGGAAATAAACTCTCATTTTGAGAAAATTCAGTAATACAGGAAAATGCAGAACAGGATGGTCTAGTAAGTCTTTAGAAATGAAACCAGGAAGGAAGGCTTCATCATTTACATGTGAAGCTTGCTACTATAATTCTCAAGCCAGCAGAGAATTTTCTGGTCACTGATACATTGATGTCATTCCGGCTACAGCCTCTTAGATCTACAAGACTTAGACGCTCACCCCCCAGGAATCCTTCTCCACATGCAAATTTTATGAGACAAGCCAAAGATTGGTCAATGTAAATGAACAACTGGCACATATCCCTTCTTTGCTAATGATTTTACAGGTTAAATGGGTTCCTAGGGGAGTAATTTCTTCATGACGAACACTCTTTTGAGTATTAGCATCTAGTCTAATTCATAAAATTTGAATGTGTTAGCCTTCAAGAACTTGTCTGATTTTCCTATTTAATAAGATTAATCTCCTAAATTATGAATCTAGTTTTGACCTTAAAATGAGCTATACATACAAATCATTATCCCTCACATTTTTTTAAAAAGACATTTTAATAGACCCCCATTAAAAAGTAAATCCCAAGCAAAGAATAATACTAAAAATGATCATCTTAAAAAGACACTGCTAACTGAGTGACTAGCAAACCATGCTGTGCACATGATCACTGTTTGCCGTCTTGTAGTTTTGTTTTGTTTTGTTTAGCTCATCATCAGAAGCCTACACAACACCTTGAAAGATAATGCAACCTCTTTGCTCATCTCACCAACTCATTTAAAAATATCCATTCATCCACTGTTGGTGTCCACTCCACAGATTAAAGAAGCATACTTTTCATTTTAATTTGTTTTAAAGATGAACTGCATAGTGCTTTAGGAATATGCCTCTGAAAGCCATCCAGACAGAATTATGTCATTCCTTAGATGTATTTTTTTTCAAATCTATAAAAAGTTAAATAGACATCACTAGTAGACATTCCTGAGACATGAAATCACAAAATATTATTTGGCTCAAAGAAATACATTAACTTTTTCTTTGGTTTAATCTGTACATGTCAGTCATACTTACAACTATAAGACAGAGGACAAAATTGAAAACAGATGACTGAAAAACCCCACTATGTTAAGCAAACAACTGAAAAAACTTAAATCCTTGCCTAATCATTTGATCTTCAGAGATACACTTTAAAATTTTTTTTATTAATCTTGCCCAACACTAACTTTGGATTGGCTTGAGATCAAAAAGTACGTGTTCTGTAACCACACTTAATAATCAGCTGCCTCATCGAACTTGCACAAAATGTATGCTTCAGGCTCCCACCGCATGCCACACATACCCCAGGTACTCCGTAAAGCCAGGGTCAAACCGTAACACAGCCCTTACCTGTTTCCCATCTAAAGTGTACAGGCGTTTCACCACGCCGGAGTCCAGCTTGATGGCATCAGTTATATCAGTGAGGACCTGCTCAAAGGAATGAGCCGTTTTCTTGTTCAGCAGAATCCTGACAGCTTTCCGTGGCTTCACTCCACTTCTGATGATGGTGACCAGCTTAGGCCGAATGAAATCCTTATTCTCCCGCATCTCGGAAGTGCTCCCTTTGGCAGTGGCCAGGGAAGACACAGCCCGGGAAGCCGAGGTGGTCTTGACATTCACTGACCAGTTGGGATTTACGTTCTTGGTGTACTCCAGTTTCTTGAAGGGCTCGATTGAGCCACACACATAGCTCTCACCTATGGAAGATGGAAATATATTAAAATGTACATTGAAGTGAACTCATCTTTCCCTAGCTTTTCATTTTTATATTTTTATTTAAAGGAATGAACAAGTTGTGACTAATCTAGTAAAGGGGATCTTCTCTTTCCTTTTCTTAAGTTTTTATTTAACGTTACTCCTTAACAGAAAATTTTTAATGAAAATACTCAGATTTTTAGACATGGAAAATACATATAAGCAAGTATAAATGTACCAAGAGATAGTAAATTACAAACGTACCAAGAGATAACAAATTATAAAATGCTAATTCTAAATACATATTTATAAAGTTAGGTCAAATCAATGAGTTTATGTTTTTTCTGTGTTAATATGTTTTTTAAGTAGGAATAGGGAAAAATTCATAACAGGACTCCATAATTGCAGGTAAAATGACCTGGGCCAAATCAAATGCAACTCATTCACTTTTATTTAAGTCCTTACCCTATTTTTAAATTAATGGTATAAGCATGCAAGGCCACAGAATCACAGATTTCTTAAAAAGTCACCACAGTTTCAAAATTTGAAAAAAGGATAGGTATGCATGTTATCAAATATTTATTTTGCAAATGTTTTTAAAACATTTCACTTTAATGTATATATATACATATATATATATACATATATATATATATATATATATATATATATATATATATCCTATGCCCTAGAAGTTGTACAAATAAGTACAATTTTGGGGCTAGGGATTTAACTTGGTGGCATAAGTGCCTGACTAGCAAGTGTGAGACCATGAGTTCAAATCCTGGTCCAAAAAAAAAAAAAACCTACAATTTTAACCCATCTCTTTCCTATTCACCTGGCAAATCATAACTTATCTAAGTAAATTTTTCCTCAGCATTTAAGCAGATATCAAATATTTCTCTGACAGTGTTACAACAGTAGTGCTTATGAAGTTTTGCTGGAAGAATTTAATGAATGTGACAGTGGGAAAGTAAGAACCGGAAATTTAGCCTCAAGACCTAGCCTCTCCAAGCCCCTGACCTTGAACACATTCCCTGATCTCTAGTGGTAGGTAATACATTCTCTTGTGTCATGGTTTATATCAGTGGCCCCAGGCCTCATGCATTTGCATTATGCATTTGTGATTGGCTCATTGTCCAGAGCTTGGATTGATGGTGTCAGTGCTACACCCACCTAGCGGTGGAGCCAGCATACAATGTAATGGCAGGAAGAAGGTGTGTGTTTGTCTCGTGGGTTTCCACCTTGCTGTTTTGCAGCTGCCTTGAACTGCAGCCCGCCATGCCACCCTGCCTTGACGCCAACCACGTACGGACTGAAACCTCCAAAAACTGTAAGAAATAAACCTTTCCTTTTCCAAATTTGGACATCAGGTGTTTTGTCTCAGCGACAAGTAAAAAATAACTAAGACAACCTGTCAAATGAAACCTCAGTGAGTTTTTCATGAAAGTTGTTCATGGATTATACAGTATGGGGCTAAAGGTTTAACTCAGTAGTACAGCATTTGTCTAGCATGTATAAAACCCTGGATTCAATCCTTGTAACTGCAAGAAAAAGTATTATAGAAGTCAAAGTGACCTCAAACGCACAATTGCTACAGAAGCAAAAAAATAACCTGAGGTGGTATTACCCTAATCATGCAGTAAACTTGAAAGGAAAATTAAAAGCAAAATTACTAGATGTCAGTAAGTAGGGCTTATGTTACAAGGTGTTGTTTTTAAACATATTTAACAGCAGGTATCACACTGGTCAGTGTCAGAGCACAACCCCAGAAGGAACACAGTTCACAATTTATCTGGATGCCATCTTTTGTCAGAATTCTGGGATAACTGAAGATATGTAGTTGTAGAATTATGTATAAGTTAATTTATTAAGCTAACAACTAAAACCAAAACAAAAGAATAGTATAGAGTGGCTGGCATTTCAACAAAGAAAACCTTTTAACTTTAGGAAAAAATTGAATTAGAAAAGGGAGACATTTAAAGAATATAAGAATATTGAATGTTTTATTGACACAAAAGCAAAACGTGTTTTTTCCATCAGAAAGCATACTGAGTCTTTTTTTATGGATTTACATAAAAAAGGCTTCAAGGATTTACATGCCATCCTCGTGTGGTGGCCATGCTAATCTTCACTGTATTGTTCCAATTTTAGTGCATGTGCTGCCAAAGCAAGTGGAAAATTTAAGAAGGTAACCCAGAGGTTAGGTTCAGGCAGCAACACTCAGAAAAATGTATAATTAATCTGTGATGTAATTATGAGGCTCTCTTGCCTGACTGTCACATTAAAGGACTGGACTGCAATTCCTAGAGAAGAATATGAGATTCAATAAAGAACGATGAACTAAGAAGAAAGTGACAGCTAAAAAGAGTCGTCACCAAACAAGATGACAAAATCCAACACCTCACCCCACACCGTGCTGTCATTTAAAAGTCTACTGCAGTTACTATTTAGGACTTCAGGAAAAACAATCGTGGGTTTCCTTAATCTACATGGCTCTATGTGTTGATTAATTTTAATAAATTGTTATTCTGAACTCCCCACAACTGAAGATGTGAGCCTTTTCTTAATTAAAATTGACTATATTTTCTCATTTTATCAGCTTTCAGAATCACCATTCACTATCTAATGGAAGTGGCTGTATAGGACCTTTATGGACACCAAAATCCTACGATGATCAAAGGTTGTACATACAGTAACACAATATTTGCATAGAACCTACACAGATTCTCCCCCATACTTTAAGTAATTCCAAATTACTTATAATATTTAGTACAAGGTAAGTGCTAGATAAAGAGTTGTTATACTAGATTGGTTAGGAAATAATAACAAGAAAATTTGTCCAGTATAGACAATTTTAAAAATATGTATTTTTGATCTATGGTTGGTTAAATCCACGTGAACCTACAGATATGGAAGGCTGGATGTAACGTGTTAATATAAATAGCTATAAATTTACAAATGTGATTGTCCTGAATGAAAATAATACAGCTTTGGTTTGGTCAAATAACTGGTTATCAAGTTTTTAATTTCTTGTTTCAAGAGACTGAGATTTAAAAGATAAATTATAGTCTTGATTTAAAGAATCACTTATAGATTGCATTCAAGTCATGACATGAGATATCTATATTAAGGGTCACTCAAAAATAACAACATAAAGTAAGACTTATAATTACTATAGCATACATACTATACATACTAAAATACTCTTAAAATCTCTGCTGTAACAATCTTCTGTAACAATGAAATAAATGTGAATTTACCTAAAAAGGGGGGTATGTTTGACCTAAACACCCCAAAGTTTCCTTTAAAATGTTTTTCTTGCTTTCTTTGGGAGAAGTTGAATAAGAACAGAGAAACTAAAAAGATCTTAGATAGTTTGAGAAAATAGTGTAAAAATCTATCTCAAGGTGTTTTTGGAAATTGTAAAACATAATGATTTGTTGATTGGTTATCAAACTGGCAGTTTTGTTTCAGTTTGTACATACAAAAAAAATTCTATGATAAAACTAATAGACCTCTTAAAATTTAATACTCTGAATGCCCAAGACAACCCAACAAATGGCACAAATCAGAGACACAGCATTTGCATAAATTGGTATAGCATTTACAAATGCCCAAAACTATGTTTGCTTTTAAGAAAAGAGAAAGAGATTTTTAAAAATGACAGTATGAAATGGTAAAGAAATCCAGGCACAGCAGCACAGGCCTATAATAACACTCAGTTCAGGCAAATTCACTACTTAACAAAACTTTGTCTCAAAAGCGAAGGCAGGGATAAGGGGAGAGAGGTAAAGGCAAGAGAAAAAGGGAGAAGAGGAGGAGAAGAATGAGGGGGAGAAAGAGGAACAGGAGGGAAATAAAGTACGAAATATACTATGTTTGGAATCAACCAATCACCTTCTAAGAAGGGTTGCATCCTCCCTGAAAAATTTAAACATTTTCAGGAAGTTTGAGAATAAAATAATTTTTGTAAGCATATTAGATTATTTTAAAATACTGTAGAGGCCATGGTTTTGGTTTGTTTGTTGTTTTTGTTTTTCAAGATGATCTCAATATGTTGGCCTAAAATTTCTGGGCTCAAGTGATCCTCTTGTCTGGCTTCCCAGGGAAAAGCCAGACAACAGGTAAGTACCACCAGCTCCAAGGCTTGGTTTCTGTTTTCTAAAAGTCACCTATTAAATTTAACATTATCATATTTTCCATTATTTTCTAAGTATGAGAATACATTTTCCCTAGTATAGTTTATTATAGAAACTGCAAAGTTAATTCTATTTTGCTATTAGCTCTCACTCTGAAATTAGAATATTTCTGCTTAAAATACACTGTTTAGGCACTACTGAAAACTTTTAATGTGACACTAGTTCCCTGGTTGAATGGGCCCAGGGCACATTAGCTCTTAAGTACTTTTTCTCCAAAATTCCACAGAGAGGGAATTTAGAGGGTTTTCCTCTTCTCCATACTGCTGTAACTGTTTCGTTAGCCAAGACTTACATACATTTAGTTCCAGTATTACTTTGGTCTGAAAATGAACTAATCTTCCTCCTTCGCATATTAAAGCTAGTGTTTACTTCCTCTAAATTCTTTTAAGACCAAAATGTTTCATATCCAAGTATTTTAATATATTTAATTTTTCTAGAATATAAAATTGAAAATACTGGCAATTGAATTTTACTATTGTGAATTACATAAAAATCTAAGCCTCAAATATATTTTGGAACTGAACTGACTCTAATTACACAAAAGATTATTTACAAAATAAAATATTATAAAATGTCTTCTGGACATTCTATTTTATGAGCTAACTCAGGTATGCATTGTGACATTTCATAATCTACTGAAAAGCACCAGTTTATGGAGATGGGTTTCATGGTGCTATTAAAGGCAAGAAAAAAAAAGATTCCCTGAAGGCCCTTATGAATCATTCTTTCATAGATGTCTTACATCCTATATAATAGAATATAAATGATACCAACAAATAAACATGAATAGTATATCAGACCAGTGGGAAAATGTTGACTTCTCAAATCTGAAACAACACAAAAAACCATAAAGGAAAAAAAATAACATATGCAATTTTTAAAATTTAAAATAATATACTTGAAAAGTAGAGAAACTGGAGTGAAAATGGAAAACACATTGAGAGACTATAATATGAAATGTTTTAATTAATATACAGCTTATTACCATTCACACAAAATGCTAAATATATGACAAAGTATAAAAACAAAATAAAGATAAATAGAATATACCACCACGGGCATTAAATTAATAAGAATCCTTTGAAAAGCAACTTAGCAAAATATATTGGAGCCATGAAAATATTGATATCTCCAATCGAATCTCATTGCTAAAATTTTTCCTAAGAAAATGACTAAAAAGCAAATAATTAATTTACAACAAGTGGTCTACTGCGTGTCTTGGGGGAGAGCTAGATGTTTTCTAGACTGCGTTTTGTAGCTTCTATTTGCTATGGAATGCTTAGAAAGAACCTGGGAGACCTCTGAGCTATGCAACGGAGGCTGTGACCTTTGAGGATGTGGCTGTGAATTTCAGCAGTGAGGAGTGACTTTGCTGAGTCCATCCCAAAAGAAGCTCTACAGAGACGTGTTGGGGGAAAGGTTTAGCAACATGGGGACTACAGAAATGATATTTAGATTTAAAGTAGTGCTGAGACTGCGAAGGCTGATAATGGGAGGTTGCAAATCCCGCGCCTTTAATGTGGCACACTGACCAGTGGACCCAATAGGAAAAGCTGTATTGGCTTTTGGTGAGTGCTGGAAATTGAGACCCGACACTCTGTGAAGCAGCCAGGACTGCCCCGCCGTACCAGAAGAGATTGTGAAAAGCTCTGGAGCTCTGAAGCCAAATGCCATGCAGTTTTCTGACCATTCCACACTTTGCCGGGAACGCAGTGAAGGCAAGCAGTGTAGTGTACAGTAGACTCAAGAGGAAGACCTGCACTGAGCCCTGCTGAGTACTAGGGACTGGGTCCCGCGGCTGCTGTGGTTGGCCAGAGGATATCTTGGAATTGGGCAGAGCCCGCCACCACGGCGACATCAATAACACAGAGAGTCTGGTGGAAGACATCTTAGAGGTGGGCAGAACCTGTGGCTCGGTGACATCAGACAGTCGCCCCTGGCGTAGAGAGGTCTGGTGGAGAACATCTTGAAATTGGGCAGAGCCCGGCGCGTGTCGGCTTCAGGGTCATAGAGAGAACTAGTGGAAGACATCTTGGAATTGGGCAGACCCACTGTGCGGGTGCTTCTGGCACAGAGAGGTCTGGAAGAGGACAGCTGTGATTTGGGCAGAACCCTGTGCCACAGTGACATTAGTCAGCTGCTTCTGGCACAGAGAGAACTGGCAGGATCTGCTGGGGCTGAACCAAGCCTCTGCTTAGGGCCCAATAAGCAGATACAAAATAGTCACAACTCTGTGACATCCAGAAAGTACAGCCTAATTTACGGATTGACTGGCACAGAGGCTGGAGGCTAGCCTGCACCGTCCCTGCATCCCTGCCTACCCCAGATAACAGCAAATTGGGGAAGACAGCAAAAACTCAAGTCAGCACGCTTCTGAAAGGCCCTAAGCAATACAGAGAGGGCCAGAGACCCCCAGGACACTCCAATCTGAAAGAAACCAGAGACATGACAATAGATAAAAATAAAATAAAAAAATCTCCAGCTGCCCAACATGAGAAAATAAGTCCAGAAGTAAACACCGAAGAGAACAAGCAGAGTAACCATCCAATACTGGACACAGCACCAGCCAAAATTAAAAAATACCTCCATGACCTCATAGATGAATTTAAAGCTGTACTCCTGATCCAAGTGAGGCAAGATATAAAGAGATTAATTAAAGAAATGACAAGCCCCACCCAAGAGAACACAGATGGAAGAACTGAGGAAATCAGAAAAGAAAGAGAAATTTCTGAAGAATTTAAACATAACTTAGAATACATGAAACAGATCCAAAGAGATTACCAGGAAACTAAAAACTCCATTGAACACTGGCAAAATGCCTTGACAGAAACTAAAGCCAGCCTTTTGAAACTTGAAGAGAGATTTATGACATATGATTATGAAAGAAAAAACCTCTTAAAAATAACAAGGAACCAGAAAGAAACAATTCAAAGGCTAGAAGATGACAAAAGGATACATAACTTAAGAATAAA